CTTTCCCTATTGTTCATTTTAGGATTCCAGAACTGTAGCAGGGACTTTCTGCTCTTTAAAAATACCTCTTGCATAAAAGGGGTGGAGGACTTCATTTGTGTTGTCATCAACATTGCGAAGGTCAGGCCTCTCTCTCAGTCATCTGCCTCTAAGCCAAAGAGTGAAGGCCGCAGAGTCTACTGGGTAAGAATATGGCCCAACTCTACCCATAAATGGCACTAGATGAATAGGTGACATTGTCTTAAAAACTGCTCACCTTAAACTCAAACCAATACAATCTCAATAAAGCTGCCTCCAATTGCCTGTGTGGAATGAGGGCTGCTGGACCACTGCGCTCAACATATTTTTTGCAAACTTCACAAGTAGATTACAGATATGTGGAAATGCAAAGATCCTACAGCCCCTCCTGTATTTATCCAGTTTTCTAGTCTTTTGTGGCAGGAGAGCAATCCCAGGCATAGTTACTTCACCGGGAACACAAGCTAAAATCTGGATTGATTTTTACTTCGTGTTTTGCTGCTGCTTCAGTTTACTATCTAAATATTCAGTATTTCTATATGATGTAGAACTGGTCTTGTACTATGTAGAGTTGGACTCTATCATTTTAATTGACAGTATTATGTGATCAACCTTAATCTTTTCTATTATTTTAATCAACATTATTTCCAAAGGTGTGTCTACATTCCTGCAATAAATCTAGTTTGTCATTCTACCTACTCATTTTTTACCAGCATAAAATGTATATCCCTTATTTATTAAGACCTTTTCTCATTTTTTTTTTCTGTATAGAGATTTTTGTTACAGGGCACATGCACTCACCGGAGAGACAGAGAGAGGAAGAGAGACAAAAAGCGAGAAATTACCCCCTCCAGGGGGGGATGGCCACGTCACAGTCCCTTCTCCAGTATCCTTTCAGAATTTTGGGCACACAAGTACACACACCCAGCCTGAGTTTAAAGCTGCCAGGTCCACTACTTGAACTGCCGTCAACTACATGGGAGTCTAGCAATGTAACGATTAGGCCATCTACTGGGCCCCAGACTTTTTCTTTTTGTTAAAGTTTTCTTTCTCTCTTCTGGTTAATTCTGGCATAATGAGCTTTGATGGTAATGTGCATGGTATCTTATTTTGTATTATATTTCCCACTTAGCTTCCCTGTAAACTGGGTGTGTGCATCTGATCCTAATTGTGATGGAACCAGAGACTTTGAGAGAAATCAGCGTCTGGATAAGACAAAGAAAGCTAGGACCATCAGGTTTCTCAGCTCTCCAGTATTTCTCAACCAACTGTGTCTGGGCACTAAAGATTCCCATCTCCTAAAGTAATGGCAGGCTTCACAAACACACTGAGAGCCTGGAATGACCCAGGGCAAGCAGCGGCTGCCCCATAGTGTCAACTGGGCTGGCCTGCGCTGGGCTGGGCTGGACTGATTGATTCAGAGCCCGTGTCTGGGCACCTGGGAAACATAAGAATGTTGACCTGACTGGGAAAGAAGATAAGCCTACAGAGATTCTGACACCTTTCTGTCCTTGCCTTCAGCCTACCCAAAGTTGTGTGTGCCATGAGGGCTGCTGGACTACTGAGCCCAGGCTGAAGAAACCTCCACTTGGCAGTGTTAGTTGTCCTCAAGCTAACATTGTAGCTTCTTAGCAGAATGAGAGTTTATTTCCTTCTTAGCCTTCAGAAGGAAGTGAAGACTTCAGGAAGCTGTTGAGACTTGCTCACAATGAACAAGTTATAAAGATGCTTGTCTAGTTTAGTCAGGATGTGATGAAATCTGCTTGTGCTTCTCAATGACATAATCTCTCACATCATGACGTCACAGAAGAAAATCCCACTGCTGAGGAGTCAGAAATTCAGGCTTCCAAGAAACATTTACTAATACCTGTGCATGCTGTGGCAGGGGTAGGAAATGCAGGGATGGGTTTCTTCCGAGTTATGAACAAATGAACTTGGTAAAATTACTATGGATTGGAGGTGGAGCATGACCCAAGGAGCAATAGAGCCAGAACTGTAGTGTCCAGAAAGATTCTGGAAGGAAGATTACATGTAAAGCCATTATAGACACTGGGTAGGTGCTGTCAAACAGGCAAGTGGGAAAGAGACTTTGAGGTCAAGGAACCACAGCAGATAATTCAAGGAATTATAAAGAGCTTGCTGGACTCATGAAACTGCAGAAAGGTCCACACAACTAACATGTTCTACCCTGTGTCTCCTGGACCTGTATGTTTACTAAAATCAGCGATAGCCTCCATGGATATACGTGGCATAGTCTGGTTTTTGTTTGTTTGTTTGTTTTTTTAAATATGAATTTTAGTTCTCAAATTCATAGGACAGGAAGTCAATGTTGGATTCCAGGGGCTAGAGGAAAGGAGAAATGGAGAACTGTTTTCTGGAGATTTTGTATAGAGCATGAATACACTCAGTACAGAAATTCATGCATTAAAATGACTAAGATTGGGGATGGCAGGTGTCATGGTGGTTGAGGACACTGGACTCCCACATGGCCAACCACAGTTCGAGTCCTGGACCTGGTGGCTAGTTTCTCACTTTCTCTCTCCTCTTCTCTCTCCTCTCTGTCTCTCTGTCTCTGTCTCTGTCTCTCTCTCTCTCTGTCTCCCTTACCCTCTCTCTCTGTGGTCAAATTAAAATAAATAAATAAATGTAATTAAATTTTTTTAATTCTTTATGAAAAAAATGACTGAGATGGTAAATTTTACATCACGTGTATTTACCACAATTAAAAATGAAAACTGAATAAACTATGAAGTCACCTGTTTACATGGATTAGAAAGGGTTCGTGTGTCTATATTACCACACTGGAGATATTGGCACAGAGTCAGAATGTATTTTTACATATAAAAACACACCCATTGTTTTCATCATTGCTTTTGCGGTCTTTTGTTGGTTAGTTTTGTGAAATACATGGGTTTTGTTTGTTTGTTTGTTTGTTTTTCCTAAATATCTGCTTGGAATTGGAGAGATGTCTGACACTTTCTGATATCATTTTAGGAAATGATTGGCCAAGATGAGGTCTAGTCCTAAGTCCATTACCTCCTGTGCCTGCTGCTTAAAGGTGAGCCCTTTCCTCAGATATCCATGGGTGGTTCTCACAGCCAGGCTGGGTCCTGAGTAACTGGAGCAGGTGAGTGCAGCCCTGGAAGGAGGTGGGGCGCAGTAAAAGATCCCGAGACGTGGGAGCCAAGAGCAATGTAGCTAACAGGGTTCTCACTCAGGACTGGAGGACCTACCACAGGGATGCCATTACCTGGAGTCAGCATAGGACATTGTTGCTTAGAGACAGCAGGGACACTGCGACTGAAGAGAGCATAAAATCTAGGACTAAAGGAGCCTATAAGGGGTATCCAAAAATCAACACTTGACCTACAGGGCCAAGGCAGGACCAGCAAGAGAAGGTGAACACCTCAGAACCAGAGATTGCAGGAACAGTGCCTTAAAAAGCTATAGAACCAGAAGCTCCACAAGCAGGATCATGCAAATCCCTTTACACAAGGCAAGGGTAGGAATGGATGAGGGGTGGAGAAAGAGGGGGCACCAGGAAAGGAAGATCCCAGGGAGCTGTGGGATCTGGGTGTGTGTCAGAGCTAAAGACAAGATGCCTTCTTGGACACCTGTCCCCTTTTCTTAGATTTCGCAAAGGAAGATTTTGAAGCGACCTTACTTCACATTGCATCAGATATATTGATATATGAAAGTGCACCCACGTTGTAATTTTAAAAATTGTAAATAAAATTTTTGTTTGTATGTGGTTTCTTTTTAATTAGCCAATAGCGTTTTCCAGGCTCTAATACTGTCTCGTACCTTGGGATAACTCAGGAGTAGCAGGCGCCAGTTCACAGAGCTCCCTAGGTAAATCGGCTGCAGTCTCCACTCTGTACACACCCCTAGGGCATCAGATACCCTATATGGACCTCACTGGAGTTCCAGACCCAGGGGCCCCAGCTCCTCTAGACTTCCTTCCCCAGACAGCACATGGGTTCTCAGATTCACCAGTTAGTAGGCTCCCTCTGAACACTTCCCCACCCTCTGCTTGTCCAGAACATGCTGTGTCAGCCCACACTCTGCAATAACTCACTCTCCCAGTTTGGAGACCTAGAGATAGCCCCAGCACCCCTGCCCCCTCCTACCCACATGCTTACATCATCTTAAGTCCTTTCACTCCTTAACATGTCTGCCACCTGACCATTTCCATGTCCCTACTACAGTGACAGATGCTCTCATGCAAGAGGAGACATCTCTGTCCTCCTCATTTAGTGCCACTCTCTACACAGTACCAAATATGCCCCCCTCTACATGGTCACTCACAAATCCTCAGCAGGGCTTTACTCCATGGCCCCCTGAATTGCCCTGATGAGCTTCTTTCTCTCCAGCTTGCTCCCTGAGTAATTACTCCCTGAGGAAACTCTCTTCAGGCTCTCCATGCCCAGCTTACTCTGTGCCCTACAGGCCAAGTCCTCTCCAATACCCCGTCTGCTCTGGTCCCACTTCCAGGTATGCAACATCTTTGCCCCAAAGCCTCCTCCTAGCCCTTGTTAGGCCCCTGTATTCTCGTCCCGACCAACAACCCAGTCAGCCCGAACCAGAGCGGAAGATCTACAGCTCGTATCATGGTAACATGGTTCACCTCCTGCCAGCTCAGTTTTGGTGCTGAAGGACTTGCCAAATATACTACTGTCTCTAAGTTCCAGCAGCCTGGCTTCCAGGACACGTGGAATGTGACAAGATGGCAGCCAATATGCAACCTGGAGTGAGACCTTGGTTAGTTACAGGACTCCTTCCATACCACATCTTAGTCATCTCACTGCTGTCTGCTCTTTGCCTTCATCCCTATTGTGTTACTTTCTCCTCGGGTGCCAGAGAGGCCTTAACAGTTTCCTTTTTTGGGTCAGTCTGTTCCCTTTCTCACCTGCCTGATCAGCATCCTCCAAAGCCTCTTCATCTGTACCTATCTCCTCTAAGGAAGTTGGTCAGTAACCAACTATAGGCCTGAAGTAGTGCTACAGGCCGCGTGTGCTTGCCACAGAGAGAGAGACATCCCATGGGGGATGGCCATGCCGCAACCCCTTCTCTTCCAGTCTTCTCTTGAAATTTTGGCACATGAACCCATCTGCCCTGTGTTAGTTTCAAGCCACCAGGTCCAGGACTCGAACCACATGGGAGTTCAACCACATGAGAGTTCAGAGCCTTAACTACTATGTAACCTGTCAGCCCCGCCTAAATCTTTACTATAACTCTTTACATTGTTTTCTAGTTTCTATTCTCATGAAGGATATGCCTATGAACTTAATCATAGGAATTATCATTGTGGGTCTTATTTAAGATAGACTGTAGAGTTGAAGTTGGACAATCATAATTTAGTATCGACATTCCAAACTGTATGCAATATATTTACAGCAGTGTTCACCACTACAGGGCAGTGACATAGTTTAAATCACATTCCATTTTAAACCCCTGGAAGACCGCAATAAAAAGGCAACATATCGAGAAAATTCAAAATGTTGGCAATATGGGCCATGACTTCATAGAATCATGGAATCTGAAGTCACTGATGCATAAAGTAAAATTAGCAGGGGAATCTGATTTGATAGAGAACAGAAAGGGGCAGATAGACCCAGTGAAGTAAGAGCATAAATGTTTGGCCTACTGAAGAACAAAACTTTGCTATCCCAACAACGGGCTAGTATGGCAGCCCTCTCTGTTATTCATGGTGTCACTGTTTTGTTTTGTTTTTAAGGTTTTTGCAATAGGGCATGAGTGTTCGCCAGAGACAGAGACAGTGAGAGTGTGAGTGAGAAAACACACCCTGGGAGGATGGTTACACCACGATCCATTCTCCTCCATTCTCCTCCTGGGATTGTGGGTACACACACACAAACTCCCCTCAGAATTTCAAGCTGTGAAGTCTGGGAACAGAACCCTGATCGCCCTTATGTCCTTGTGGAAGTTTAGTGCCTGAACTACCATGCCACTTTCTAGCCCCTCTCAGAGTCACTCTTTTTTATTTTTTTTAAGAGAGATTATTGCTATAGGGTGCATGGGTTCACTGGGAACAGAAACAGACAGAAAATGAAAAAACACCCCGCAGGTGTTGACCATGCCACAGTTCCTTTTCTATTCTCCTCTTGGGATTTTGGGAAGGTAAGCACATGCACCCGATGTGAGTTTTAAGTCACTGGGTCTGGATCTCAAACCATAGTGACTCTCAAACCTAGGAGAAAGTAGAACCATTTCCCTGGTGGGTCAAGCCCACTCACTAACCAATAGGGTAGGGTCTGCACATGTCATAACGGGCATTAAGTCACAGGGTGATGCAGGGGTTGCTATGACACAAATGCTAGAAGAACTCTGGGCACTTGTCCAGTTACTCATTTGGACTGGAGTAACTAGGAGCACCTCTAAAGACAATGACTAAAAAGCTACCCCCAATTGCCCCTCCTAAACCCCAGCCTCCTCCTCGTTCTCTTCCTTCCCACCCTTCTCATGGAAGCCACCTTCCTCCCATTGCTCCTCAGTCTGTCAGCCCTCAGCCTACTCCCCAGCACCAGGCCTCTCGGTCATCTTCTCGCCCTATCCACTTCCCTTCCTTGACTAATACCAACTCCTACCAGCCCCCTCCCTTGAAGGTCTCCAAGCCCAGCTCTTCCTCTGTTCTTTACAGACCATCCACTAGCCGCCGCCCTGTCTGTCTTGGTCCCCTTTCCCATTACTCCAACATCTTTTTCCCAACTCCTCCTCCCAGCCCTCCTTCCTAATCCCCTGGACTCTGGTCACTGCTGACAACCCAGCCACTCCCAAGTGGGCCTGATGATCCACAGCTCTCATCCTGGACAGACGGTGACACCAGGGACATTCCTGTGCAGTTCAGAATTGCCAGGTCTGTGCATTCCCAAGAGCATAACCTGCTGGACATCGAGAATGTGACAGGATGGCCATCACCGTGCAGCCTGGAGTGTCACCTCCATTAGTTATAGGACCCCTTATTCTGACCAGATCTGGTGTCTCACTGCCACCCACATTTTGCCTTCATCCCCATCTCGTGAGACCTCCTGAGGTGCCAGCAATACCTTAACAATTTCCTTCTTCTAGACTATCTGTTTTGTCCCCTCCTGGCTGATATCTGGCCACCCTGCATGAGCTGCTGCATTGGTACCTGTCCTCTCCAAAGAACCCCATTGGTAAGCACAGAGCAAGCTGCAAGACCAGTGAGAACGGAGGTCAGGGAGAGCAGAAGTGGAACACATTACTCTGTTCTCCAGGAGCGTAAGTCCTGTCTATCAGCTCTGGGTTAAATGAGTGACTAGGAGGGTCATTTGACCCATGAAATTAAAACAAAGGAAAGTCCTGCTATAGATAGATGGGGGATCAGGGCTGGTGTTTCATTTTCAGCCTTTTTTTTTTTTTTCTTGGTTCCTCTGTGATTCCGCTATTCTTCATGTTAAAACTCTATTGCTCAGAAAGGGACTTCCTGAACTTGAGAAATGCTTCCCATTTGAACAGGGAGGTTTCCTCCATTTTATTTTCATTGAAGGTCTAATGCTTGGGACTCTCTCTCTCTGTCAGATGCCTCTACCCAAGAAGGTGAAAGGAGCAGAGTCTAGAGGACAAGAATATGCCCAAGTCGTCGTCAGAGAATCACATCATGTGAGTACATAGGATGCGTGAAAAAGTCTCCCTCAAATTGATATCTGAGTAGATTCAAACAATCCTAACCAGAATCCCAATGCATTTTGGGGGGAAATTCCTAGTTGATTATAGTTTCTATGAAAATGCAAAGGGTCAAGTGTGTTTCCTATATTTTGTCCAGACTCCTAGTCATCGGAGCAGGAGAGTAACCAGGCAGCTTCTCCTTCCTGGGCAGAAGTAAAAGTTTTGTTTTGGGATATCCCCATAGGTGCTATCTGAGACTCCAATCCCATATGACTCCCTGTGGTTCAAATCCCAGCTCTGTTGCCTTGAAAAACACTGTGTACATGTGGGTGCGAGCCCAGATTTCAGGTGGGATGGATTTGAAGGAAAAAGCACTTAGCACGACCATGTCTGGATGGGGAATACTTTCTCTCTCTCTCTCTCTCTCTCTCTCTCTCCCCCTCTCCTCTCTCAGTTCCATGCACACATGCTCTCTGACAATAAAAAAAAACTATTATTTCATTTTACCAATCTCCTATCCAAATACACATTAATTCTATACCATACTATATATAATTGCACGCTGTCATTTTAATTAACAGTGATATGTTATGAGTCTTCATCTTTTCCATTATTTTCAGTCAATGCTGTTTGTAATGGTCTGTCCATACTACTACGGTACATCTAGCTTGTGGTTCTGCCTGGTGCATTCTTGTCGCCTCAACATAAATCATTTTCTGGCTATTTATTCAGATATCTTGGATATTATAAAACAGATTTTTCTCATAAAGGTTTAGTGGAATCTTTCTTAGATTAATTCTAGGGTAATAAAATTTGTTGCTAGTTGAATACTATCTTATTTTGTATTCTATTTTCCAGTTAAGTTTCCTGTTAGCTGGATTTGATCTTAATTAAGAAGGACCCCAGAGATTTCAAGAGAAATCAGCCCTGTTGGGTACTGGGTGACAGCTAGAGGGCTAGGGCCATCAGGTTTTTCAGCTCTCGAACACCAGACGATTTCTCAAACACCGCATCCAGGCATAAATGAGTCTTATCTTCTTAAGGAATAATGGACTTGGCAGGGCACAAAGACAGTGTTGCTAATTGTCCCCAGGCTAACACTGTGGCTTCCTAACAGAATCAGGGTTACTTTCTTCTAACCTTCAGGAAAGGAGTGAAGATTTCGAGAGGCTGTCCAAGCCTTGTTCAAAATTATGAGTGATTACAAGATGCTCATCTAGCCAACGAGCAGTACTGAAATTGCTTGGTGCTTCTAAATGATGTCATAGTTCATGTAACGATGTCCACTGAACACAATCCCAGTGCTAAGTGGTCAGACATTCAGGCTTCAAGCATTTACCAAACACACATCTGTGTGTACTGTGGCAGGTACTGGTAACATAGGGATGGATCACGTGCATTCTTTTCCCCTCAAGTGTTGTAGCTACCTACAAATAAACTTAGTAAAGTAACTGTGGATTTGCAATAGAGCAGGTCCCAAAGAAAAAACAGATCTGGGAGCCATAGAGTCCAGAAAGGTTCTGGAAAGAATATTACATATAAGGTCATTAGACACATTGGACTGTGTCCTTCAGACAGATCAGGGAGGAAGCTGCAGAAAGTCCATACAACTCACATGCTCAACTCTGCATCTCCCAGACTGAACCGTATCTGGAACACTGTGTCCTGGGTGAGTGACTGAGTGAGTAAATGATGAGGTGCACAGTGGCAAGGACACAGGCCTTAGAGTCGTGTTTAGGGGCTTACTAACACCAGGGGTGCTCGCCTCCTCTGTGCTAGGCCTACTTGTGGCTCCTTTAAAGTTGTATTGTACACGGTATGTAGAGGAGCCAATTCATAGAACAGAAAGTCAAAAAGCATCTGACAGGGCTTGGAGGGAGGGGGAAGTGGAAAGCAGTCGTATAATGGGTGTAAAAAAGTTCTGGATATTTTGCCCAAAGTGTGAATACCCTCAGCAATAAAGAACTTTATACTTCAAAACAGCTAAGATGGTAAATGTTTATATGTTTATATTTACCACAGATAACAATGTCAAATAAACTATGAAGTCACCTGGTGATTTAGAAAAGGAAAGAGTCATTCTGTCTGTGTCACCACATTGGCGATATTGGCCACACTGTGTGGGACACTGTTGCCTGGAGCCCGCAGGGAGGCTGTTGATAGAGATGGCTTAAAGTGCAATTGCCTGAGGACAGCAGAAAGCCCAAGACAAGGTGCGGGGTGGGGGTCTCTACAGTCCAGAGATCAGGACCTCACCTAGCAGGGTCAAGGTTATGGGAAGACACCAATGAGAAAAGAGGACCCCAGGTGAGGTTCATTAGAACAAAATCTTATAAGAACTGTACATTAAGCAGCTACAGACCGAGGAAGTCTACATGCAAGATTACTTGAATCCCTTTCGCAGGCATGGGGGCGGGGCTGGACAGAGGACAAGACTCAAGAGGTCTTCCGGGGAAGGATGTGCCCCGCAAGCTGCAGAGTGTGATTGAGGTAAGAGCTAAGCACAGGAGGCTTCGGTGAAGGGGAAGATCAAGAGGGCTCACAGGGAAGGGCTGTCCTGGATGTTGCAGAATGGGAGTGAGGTCAGAGCTATGAAAAGGAGACTTGTTATTTTTCATTCATTGTTTTTGGCCATAGGGCAGTGCCTTAATCCCCACACCACCTGTCAGCCCAGGACTCCTTCCCTGAAATCTACTCCCTTTCACAGACTTCAGGAAGACATTGGAGGAGCCCCGCACCACATTGTATCTGATATTGTAATATATTTAGTGCATTCATCTTGTGGTTATGTTATAAAAAAAGTTGAGCATCTTTTTATGATTTTGTTTCTAAAATATATTTTGTAGGGTTATGTTGGTTTTGTTTGTATTTATGTTCTTTTAAAAGCTAAAGGTATTTGTCAGGCTCTAACACTCACACCTTGGAAAAGCTCAGAAGCAGCAGGCTCCAGCCCACAGTGCTCCCCTCAGAAAGGTTTCTAGGAGGTCCCACTCTCCACTCTGCTCACTGCACACACTCCTCGGGTGGTTTCCTCTGGTCCTGGGCCATCAGCTCCCCTAAATGCCACTGGGCCATGAATAGAACTCCAGACCTAGAGCCCAGCCTCCAGGCTCCATTCCCTGGACAGCCCATGGCTCCTCAGACTCACCAGATGGCAAGCCAGGCTCTTTCTGGACCCTCTTCCCCACCTCTGCTCCTCTACGACATCCTGTCTCAGCCAACACACTGCAGTCACTCACGCTCCCAGGTTGGAGACCGAGGACATCTTCAGTGCCTCTTTCTCCCTGATCCACACACAGCCAGCACTAGTCCTGTTTACTTTTTAAATATTTCTCCTGACCATTCCCATGTTCCTGCTTCACTGATAGACACCATTATGAATGGGGAGGCATCTCCACTCACCTCATCACTTCAGTCCACCATCTCAAGCACCTGAGACTGCCCCCTCACTCCATCTGCACTCCCAACCTCGGCAGGGCCCACCTCACTGCCCCCTTGGTTTGAAGAGCTCCTTCCCGCCAAGGTGTCTGCTCCAGCTCGTCCCTTACACTGCTAGCTTCAGCTGTGCTGAAAGGCCAACTTGATCATGCTAGTCCCTCCCTAACATCCTTCAGTGCCCCCACAGCTTCTGAGCTAATGATCACGTCGATCAGCTCACAGGCCCCTTAGAGCTGGCTCTGGTTCCCACCCAGCGACATGCCACTTTTCTCCATCCCCACATGTCTTAGTCTATAATTGGGCTGCTAACATGAATATCTCAGACTGAGATTTATAAATAAACTGAGTTCATTCAGTTCCCAGTGCAAGATCCAAGGCTCAAGGGACAACTTCTGGTGAGGCTACAACATGGCAGCAGGCAGGGTCTTCGGCAGAGCACCTACCCGTCAGATTTGCTGTCATCCCCTCCACCTATCAGCCCACCAGAAATGAATCATAGAATATCCGTGATCATACCCAAGGCTCCACCCTGAGACACTATGAAAGAATTAAACTTTCATTTAACACCTCTACAGTACAATCAAGTCCCAAACATGAACCTTTGAGGTGACAAACCATAACCTTCTACCTGTACCCCAAAGTTCACATCTTTCTCCTATCCAAAATCATCCCAATGGCCCCAGAAGTCTTGACTCATTTCAAGTCCAAGACCAAAGTCCAATGTTATCTGAGATTCAAGGTAAAATATGAAGGCAAAACAAATTACTTCCAATGTATAGCTATGGATCAGGAGCAGGGTAGACATTCCCATTCCAAGCAAGGCCAGAACTCAAGGGGACCAACCTTAGACCCTGAAACTCCGTGTGCTGCACCCTGGATGCACTGAGAGGGCTGGGTCCCAAAACATCAGAGAGCCTTTTCCCTTTTCCCTGTCAAGCTCAGTCCCTGCTTCTCTCTCTTCAGCTGGAGTCTTCTGAGTTCTGAATTTCAGGCTGGTGCTTCATGCTGATTGCTTCCCAGTTCGGAGCCCCAAGCTTTTCCGTGTGTTCTTTGGAATCTAGGAGGAGGCTGTCAGCACAGGCTACTTGCACCTTCCAGAACGCTCGGTGGAGCGGCTGCTTTAACAGCAGGTCAAGTCTACCTGGGGTCACTGGAAACAGCTTGCACTGAGGAACACTTTACTGGGATGCAGGGAGCAGAGTCCTGAAGGGACGCAGGACTACCTTGTCCTAGACCAGTCTCCTGAACTATTCTCTCCTAGGCATTTGCGCTTAATGGGAAGGGCAGTGCTGTCAGGACTTTTCCCTTATTTTCTAGACAATCGTGACCTGGCTTCCTTCCTGCTCTTCTAAATCTCTTTAGCAACCAGTCTCTTAGCCACATTTTCCTCTGACAAGCATACTTTTTGCATCTTGGCCACATAGCCAGACTGCAAATTTTCCAAAAATTCCTAACTCCTGCTGTCCTTCTCTTTTCATTATAAGTTCCATCTTTAGATCAATTCATTCCTCTCTCATTTCACTAGATGTAGTTAAAATAACTACACACATTTCCTTCTATATTTTGCTTTGAAATTTCATTTTCCAGATCATCATCTATCTTAATTAAAAACTCAACAAAACTTCTGGACACAAACATTTTGCCTGCAAATTCTCTGCTATGTTATAACACACATAATCTTTTCCCAACTTTCCAATAAGCTCTTCCTCATTTTCTCTAAAACCTCAGAATAGACTTCACTGTCCTATTCCTATCAATATTCTGAATACTACCATTTGCTAAACTATGAAAAAAACTTCCAACTTGGGGCCAGCAGTTAGCATGGTGGTTAAGGAAGTTGGAGCCCACATGGCTGACTGAGTGGTTTGTGTTCCAGACTTGGTAGCTTGAAAATCATGCTGGGCATGTGTGTGTGTGCATAACCAAAATCCAGAAAGGAAAGAATGGAGAAGGGATTGTGGTATCACCATCCCCTCTTAGAGGAGATTCCACACTTTTCCTTCCTCTCTCTCTCTCTCTCTCTGTCTCTCTCTGGTGAGTAAACACATCCTAAAGCAAAAACTAAAAACAAAAACAAACAAACAAAAGACTTCCAATTCATTTCTTAACAATTCATCTTCTAAGTCTTCGTCAGAATCTGTGCTTTTTTCTAGGCATCTCGTCCTTGTCTACTACCCCATCCCAGAGTCATTTCCACAGGTCACATACTTGTAGCAACACTATCCTGCCAGCTACACCATTTTCTATCTTAGTCCATTTTTGCACTGGTTACAGAAATACACAAGATCAGATGATTCATAAAGACAGAGGATATCCAACTCATCATGTGGGTTCCAGGCTCTAGGGCCCAACTTCAGGTGATGCTACTACGTGGCAGGAGGCAGGCTCTTGACCAGAGCGTCTATCCAGAAGTTTCTGTGTCTCATTCCTCCTGATTACTCACTTAGCAGAACTAAATAATAAAGGCCTCACCCTAATGACACGATCACACCCAAAGGCCTCACCCTGGAACACCATCAAAGAATTAAGTTTTAACTTCTTTTCACTTCTACACTTTGATTAGGTCCCAGCAGATAGGTATTTGGAGATCATCCAAAACCAAAATCTTAACCTTGGGGGACAAACCATTTCAAACCATAACACCACCTGAGTTCCTTTAATACACGTCTGATGCCTACTCTGCACCAGCCACTGCTAAAGGCTCCAACATATGCTCCCCTCTTACCACCATTTCCAAATAAAGGCTTTCTTAAATATGCCATGCTATTTCTCGCTATGTTACCTACACAAACGCTATTTCTCCCTGAATTTCTACCCAACATTTGTGCCCAGTGGTCTGCTGTGTCATGGCTATAGAAAGAAAACAAATATCTTCATTTGCCTTTGAACGAAACTGGCTTTCTTATGGAGTCTCTCCAACCACTAACTTTAGCACAACAAATTAATGTCCAATTCTATTTAAACGTGGTCCATTCCAACAACTGAAACAATTCCTTAAGGTAACATTTAGGCTTCTCAGAAAAGTGCTGTCTCCGAGCTCATGACCCTTGGGAATATGATTAATATGATCCACCAAGTCCAGGGAGAACCTATAGGATTCATGTTTATAGTTTACTTTATCCATATAGGAAGAAATTATGCTTTTATAAAATGCTGATAATACTATATAGACAATATATACATACAAATATATACATATACATACATATATATACATATTATATATATGTATATACATTACAGATGCATGTTCCAAAGTTTTAATGATAAAGGTTTAAGATACAAAACAGTTTGGAGACCTCTCGTCTCTACTGACCTCTGCTCATGTCCTAACACTCTGGAGCTAGCTCACTTTACTCCAGCTCCTCTAACCTTGCTGTTTCTGACATTCAAGCTCACACTCCTATTCTTCCCACATGTACTCACACAGCACGTTCCCTCACTGCATTCAGGGCTCTGTTCATACACCCCTCCCTAGAGATACACCACCCACAGCGCGCCCCACCATCAACTCTTTATTCTCTTTTTCTTTGTTATTTTGCCTCACAGCTATTTGAGAGGACTCTAATAGTTCACAGAAAAATAGAATTAATATCCAAGTTTATTTTGGTGCAAAAGAATTTATAAACTCCTATTGTTTTTCATAATACACATTTTCCACAAAAGTTTTGAAGACCCCTTGCATAGCGGTATCTGGCTAACGTCCTTTGGTCGCTCAGGCTGTTTTGTCTCCCTAGACCAGCACTGCCAAGAATGTTCTTCTATGATGAAAACACCTCTATCTGTGCTGGAGTCACACTGTTGCCATTGGCCATCTGGGGCTATGGAACAGATGAAATGTGACTAGTGTGACAAAAGGAACTGAATCCTTAACTGTATGTCATTTTAATTGTTTCAATGCAAGTAGCCATGTTGCTGGTTGAGGGGCCCTACATGCCCTGTCCAGGGACCCAAAGCAGATCTGACCTCTCACTTTTCAACAAAACACAGAGAGGCAAAATTGTTAATGAGAGAAGAAAGCAGAATTAGATTTTTAAAGAGGTTTTTGCCTTAGGGTGTATGCGCTCGCCAGAGGAAGAGAGAGACAGAGACAGCAAGAGGGAAAGTGAGAAATCACCCACCACGGCGGGGGGAGGGGATGCCCGCACTACAATCCTTTCTCCTCCATTCTCCTGCCAGGATTTTGGGCACACTTATGCTGCCAGTGTAAATTTTAAGCCACTGGGTCTGGGACTCAAATCACAGTCAGCCACGTGGGAGTTCAGTGACTCTCATCTGTAGTAATCACTACGCCATCTGTTGGCCCAGAAAGGAGAATGTTTTTATAGTGTGGCCAACCAGGAAGATATGTAAGAATATCTTCGATGAGTCAGTGAATTTACAGATGTTTTGTAAGGGAAGGGAGATGTTATGTGGCTTACAGCTTTCTATAGAAAAGCATAGATGAGGTGAATTTTTAGTTGTGAGGAATAATCAAATAATTTGTCTTTGGGTCAGGCATTTCAGTCTTAGGTAAAGGGTATAATGAAACAATCCATTTTCAAAGACAGGAATTTCGGCTTGCGGCTAGGCCAGAACATCTGTCCTGTTCTAAGCTCCGGACTGGCCATTTGTCTCCTTGGCGTTCCTGTGAGAAACCTCAAGCAAAGAGCAGCAGGATGAGAGAAAAACAGTTTCTGATTTTAACAAGATTGAATCAGCTTGACTAAGCAGCCCTGTTTATAGCCACATGTGCTGGTGGTCACTGTACTGGACAGAGCCATTCTAGACAGTGAACTCATCGAGGGCCTCATCTAACTTGAATTCCCAGGGCCCAGCATGATAGCTGGCATGTACAGTGTAGTCAGGGAGTGCTAAGGGATGCCGGCTTAGGTGGACCCTAGGTAGGACAAGAAGTCAGTGTTAAGATGTGAACCTGTGATGATGTTTTCTAGATCACACAATTGCCAGAAAGCCCACGTCCTAGCATGATGACCTGCAGAGGTGAGTCCTGGGGACTGAGAACACTAATGAGTTACAGGAAAGAAGCAGACTGGCTGGAGAGACCTCTCAGAGACGCGTTACCTTGGAGTAAGCAGCAGAGTCTTCTGCTTTGATCCTGGAAAGTAGATTAATATTAGCTGAGCTCATAGGTGATTGACTCTTTCAACCATGTCATTTTTCTGTCAAGTTGATTAAAATGTTCCTAGCGATCTTAACATTGCATTTATTTATTCGTCAAACATTTATTGTTTGAAGTACAGATTCTGGACTGATAGTATTACAAACTGGTTGTTTCATTCAGTAATTGTGTGATCTAAGAGGTTTTTCCCCCTTCTAATACTATTTCTTAGGGATAGAGGATTAAAAGAGAAGAACAAAAGATGCACCAGCTCAGAACAGTATCTGTGCTCAGTATCAGTTGTCAATATTTTCATTGTTATGTGTGACAGTCACTATGAAAGACAGAATAGGGGGAGTTGTAGCAAAGGAAACTAAAAGTGAATGGATTTATAATAGGTAGTAATAGAAAGTAATAGAAAAACAGCAACATCATAGAAAGCAGATGCCTAGGTCAGGAGGTGGAATTCACACGGTGAGGTGGAGCATGTCAGGTGAAGAAGACTGGAGAAACGTTCTGAGTTACACGGAAAGGCACAGAAATGGGAATTACCAGCAAGCTCTGAGAACTGGGAGTAATTTTGCATAATCAAGATAAACAGGTGGCAAAAAGGTCACATTGGGGAACGAGCGAAGAGACAATTTTTGTGGAAAGCCTAACTCCTCTAGAAAGCCCTCCTTCTCCTCTACCTTCCTGGAGTAGAAATCAAAGGAAGGAGGAAATAAAACTTACATAGCAGGATGGGATGGGAAGTAGGGAAGTAGAGGATCTTATGTCATTGTGAAGGACACAGACAAGTAAAGAGACAACAGAGAGGGCAAATCAAAGCAAATTGGGGGTTTCTGCAAGGTTCACTCCTAGCTGGAGGATAGGGTACCAGGTGGGCACTTGCAGAATAAAGAATGTAGTAGGTGCTGAGGGCCTTACCGCCAGGCAGGAGGCGACTGTCATCTGTCTTCTACTAAGGTTGGGCCCAGCCTGATGCCAGGTATTTGATCTGCATTTCTTCATTTCATTCTCAATCATCTCCCTGGGTTAGACTTTTTCTTTCTGTTTTGCAGAATGAATACAGCAAGGCACAGGGAAGTTAAATTCCTCGTGAACTAGTTGTTCAGGGTCAGGAACAGTCAGCTGCAAAGCCCAGGTTCATTCTGTGTTTAAACAGCCCCTCTCTGGTGAATATATGCTAGAGTAGAAAACCTGTGAAATTTCAGATACACCTGCAGTCAGCAGCCACACTTATTCCAACACAGAAGGACCTGACCTCACTTAATTGTTTGACAATCCCCTGAAGAACTTCAGAGAGCAAGAGGTGAACTGTGAAAGGTACAGTTTGGCTCTAACACGCTTCCCACAAGATCCTGTCCGGAGGCATGAAAGGGGGCTGTGCTGCCTGTCAGGGCACTGTGCTGCTTGTGCTCCTCCTACATGCCCCCCTTTTGGGGCCACCTGCTTTGTCACTTCTGCCTTCCTGTGTCAATTCCCTCTCTGGTCTTCAGTGCCCTCTTCATTGATAAGTGAACATAACATCTCTTCTCCAGGGACCTCGTGTTTATGCAGAGATATACATGATGTGAAAGGACATTGGAGCAGGACCGGGAGGGAGAAATTAATACAGCTATCGTATATGTCAGAGTGTCTAAAAAGAGTATTTGAATGTTCCCAGTAATGACAAATGAAGGAGATGATGGCTACACTAATTACCCTCATCTAATCATCACACGTGGCGTTCATATGTGAAAAATTAACATTGTACACCCACAAACATGACTGATTACTATGCATGTCAGATAAAAGAGGGAGAAAAAATACAGAAAGAAATCAACTGGAGCACTGACTTCTTCCCATTTTCCAATTCCTGCATCCGAAACACTCCCCAACTCCCTAACTCCAGAGTCTACCCTAGCCCTTTGACTAATCTTTGCCATCTGAGAAACACAACTATATGTAACCCAAGAATATGGACTAATATTACAGCCTCCTTTCCACTCTTTTTTAATTTGCTATAGGGTACATGCAGAGAGAGAAACACACACAGAGAAAAAGTGAAAAAGAACCCCCAAGGGGGATGGCCATGCCATAATCTCCTCTCCATTCTGTTCTCAGGATTTGGGGCATGCATGCACACATGCCTGGCATGTTTTTCAAGCCACCAGTCCTGGAACTCAAACCATATTTGCCCATGAGAGATTGAGATGCTTTAGCAACTAGAGCACCAACTGCCCCCCTATTCTTTTCTATTTCCCATGGTAACTCTTTTACTTTTTGGGGGGTTTTTTTTGAGATAGAGATTTTCCTATAGGGTGCATGCTCTTGCTGGAGAGACAGAAAACGAGAAATTACCCACAGAGAGGGGATGGCCACGCCATCCCTTTTCCTCCATTCTCCTCTCAGGATTTTGTGCATGCATCACGGGTGACTGGTTTGAGTTTCAAGCTCTGGGACCAGGACTCGAATCGTGATCGGACATGTGAGAGTTCAATGACGTAACCATTATGCAATCTGCTGGTACCCCATGACTACTTTTAAACCTAGAAACTGGGGCCATTTTTCCAGTAAGTGGGACCCACTCACTAACCAAAAGGGTGGGACCTGCATATCTGATAGTAGGCATTTAGTCACAGGGTCACATGGGGAGTGCTGTGTCATAAATGCTGCAGAAGGTCTGAGCACTTGCCCAGTTACTCATTTGGACTCATTTGAACTAGACGAGAAATTAGGAGTGCCCCTGGAGACAATGACTAAAAAGCTATCCCAAATTGCCCCTTCTAAGCCCCAGTATCCTCATACTCTTCCTTTTCGCCCTCCTCATGCAAGCCGCCTTCCTCCCATTTCTCCTCAGTCTGTGAGCCCTCAACCTACTCCCTAGTACAATGCCTCCCTTTCACTTTAGGAGAGTCCCATCTCCTAAAGTAATGGCAGGTTTCACAAACACACTGAGAGCCTGAATGACCCAGGGCAAGCAGAGGTTGCCCCATCATGACACTAGGCTGGCCTGCGCTGAGCTGGGCTGGACTTGTTGATTCAGAGCCCGTGGCTGGGCACCTGGGAAACATAAGAATGTTGACCTGACTGGGAAAGAAGATAAGCCTACAGAGATTCTGACACCTTTCTGTCCTTGCCTTCAGCCTAGCCCAAGTCCTGTGTGCCATGAGGGCTGCTGGACCACTGAGCCCAGGCTGAAGAAACCTCCACTTGGCAGGGCACAAATACAATGCTGTTAGTTGTCCCCAAGTTAACACTGCAGCTTCTTAACAGAATGAGGGATCATTTTCTTCTTAGCCTTCGGAAGGAAGTGAAGACTTCAGGAAGCTGTTGAGACTTGTTCACAATGAACAAGTTATAAAGATGCTTGTCTAGTTCAGCCAGCTTATGCTTGTGCTTCTCAATGATGTAATCACTTACGTCATGACATCACAGAAGAAAATCGCGCTGCCGAGTGGTCGGAAATCCAGGCTACCAAGAAACATTTACTAAACACCTGTGCATTATGTGGCAGGGATAGGTAATGCGGGGATGGATCACATGCATTCCTCTTCTCAGGTACCTGAGACATGAAAAAATGAACTTGGTAAAATTACTATGGACTTGAGGTGGAGCATGACTCAAGGAGCAATAGAGTCAGAACTGTAGAGTCCAGAAAGATTCTGGAAGAAGATTACACATAAGGTCATACAGACACTGGGTAGGTATCCTCAGACAGACGAGTAGGAAAGAACCTTCAAGGTCAAGGAACCACAGCAGATAATGCAAGGAATTATAAAGAGCTTGCTGGACTCATGAAACTGCAGAAAGGTCCACACAACTAACATGTTCAACACTGTCTCCTGGGCCTGTTTAGGTGTTTACTAAAACCAATGATGGCTTCCATGTCTATGCCTGGCAAAGTCTCCCTTTTTTGGGGGGTTGGGGGGAGTAGTTTATTTATTAATTTTTTATATTTTAATTTATTTTATACATTCGACCAATATATATCACTTAGCTTGTGAAGTGTTTTACCGAACATGAGCCATAGTATGTTTTTTTTTTAAATAAGTTTTAATTCATAAGGTATGTAGAGGGATCAAATTCAAAGGACAGGAAAGAAATGGTGGATGACAGGGGCTAGAGGAAGAGGAAAATGGAGAGCTGTTGTTCTGAAGATTTTGCACACAGCATGAGTACACTCAGTACAGAACTTTATATGTTAAAATGACTAAGATGGTAAATTTTATGTCACATGTATTTACTACAATTAAAAATAAAAATTGGGGGAAAAAATGAAAATTGAGCTTCCTGTCCTAGCAAAGTGAGAATCCATGTGCATCTGAGGTGGGCCTGGCCCTGCTCCTTTAACTGAAAAGCCTCTGTTCCAAAGCTCCTTCCTGCCCAACACCCAGTGAAGTGAGATAGGGTGATCTCTGTCTTCTTTCTGTCTGTCTATCTGTCTCTCTCTCTCTCTCAAAATTTATATATATATATATATTTTCAAAATCTGTAAGTACTGTCTCTTGTTTCTGACCTCTCCTTTATCTTGCTAATTTCAGAATCCATGTGCATCTGAGGTGGGCCTGGCCCTCCTAATTTCGTGTGGAACACACACCTCATGAAGTTTTTATTTGCTGCTTTTTAAAAAAAAAAAAAAAAATTATTTTCCTCTTAATTTTTTTGTCTTTTTTTTTTCTTTTGGCTTTTTCCCTTTATTTCCTTTCCTTTACCTGACTGTCTCACCTTGCTTCTCAGCTTCCACACATTGAGTGTCCAGACAGGCCTAGGTGCACAGTAGTGAAACATCTGAAGACATTTAGAGTCATAGAAATCCTTAACCCCCACTGAACTGCTACAGAAAGGGAGAAACTTGATTCAGGGATTTCAGCTACCAAAGACCGACTGCCCAGACATCACCTTCCCACTCCTCAGGTTTAGCCAGGAGCCAGACAGCAGGTCACCTCCTTTTGCATTCCTCTGAATGCTCAGATGTGACTCCAAAAAATAGGAAAAAATGCATAATTCATCAGATGACCAGAAACCACTGCAGAGGCACAAGAAATATGAGAAACTAAGAAAATAATCTCTCTCCCTAGGGAAAAGGACAGCCCTTTATCATCCACAGACCAATGGAACTTGTGGAAAAGTCAAATAAAGAATTTAGAGTGTTCATAGCAACAAAGCTAATAGTGATGCAAGAGAAGAGAGATAACAAACTCCAGAATATACAGGGGAAAAGAAACAATGAGTTCCAGGAGATAGGGAAGCTCTTGCAGGATCTGAAAGAGGAAATACACACCATAAAAAAGAATCAAACTGAATTGTTAGAGATGAAGGCTGTAACGCAGGAAATCAAAATTTCCCTGAAAATATTAAAAGCAGATTAGACCATGCAGAAGGTCAAATATCGTATGCTGAAGACAAAACCTCTGACCTAGAAAAAAATCACCAAAAAGACAGAAAACCCAATGAAATTAGAATAATATATGAGAAACACTAGATAACATTAAGCGCCCAAACATCCAGATAATCAGTATCCCAGAAGGTGAAAAAACTAATAAGGGCATTGATAGTCTAATCCATGAAATCCTGGAAGGAAAATTTCCGAATCTAGAGAGGCATTCAAATATCTAGACCCAAGGAACACAAAGGACTCCTAATATAATCAACTCAAGAAGATCTTCTCCAAGGCACATTATAGCCAGATTGGCCAAATTTAGAGACAAAGACAAGGTACTAAAATTGGCAAGAGAGAAATGTCAGGTTACTTATAAAGGTTATCCCATAAAGCTAATATTAAACCTCTCATCGGAGACAATGCAAGCAAGGAAAGAATGGGAAAATATACTCAAAGTGTTCAATGAAAAGCAATTTCAACCAAGAATACTATATCTGGCAAGATTATCCTTCATATGAGAAGAAAAAATAAGAACATTCTCAGATAAACAAAACCTTAAAGAATTTACCAATGCCAGCTCTTCAAGAAGTTCTAAAGATAATGCTTTACCAGAAAAACTAAGACACACAGACAGAAATAAGAAAATAAAAAGCAACCAAGAAAATGACCAACTTAATGCTAGAGACAAGTCCTAAAATATCAATAATAACATTGAATATTAACTTCCAGGATTTAAACGAAAAGATCATACCAGAGTAACACTGCAAAGTCAACAAAAGAGAGATTACATGAGACTGAACTCGTGAAATAGAAATATGGAAGGGAGAGAGGAGAAAGGGAAAGAAAAAAAAAAGTAAAAATACATTAAATGACAAAAATGAGAAGCTATTTGCTGATGATAATGTGTATAGTAATATCTTTGTCTTGACTGATATGCATGGTATTCATGCTATAAAATGAAATGTTTTAAACTGTAAAGATATATGTGATTAAATGTAAATAAATAGGAAAAAAAATGTTTAATGAAAATTGAATGAATGATAAAGTCACCTGCTTACTTGGGTTAGGAAAGGGTTAGTGTTTCTTTATTCCCACTTTGGAGATATTGGTATATTGGTCAGAATGTATTTTCAGATATAAAAACACACCAATTGTTTTCATCTTTGTGGGGGGGGGGAGGGGAGGAGCTTGGTTTTTCTGAGACACAGGCTTTGTTTTTGTTTTTGTTTTTTTTTTTCATAAGTATCTGCTTGGAAGTGGGACCTTCTAAAGTAACACCCTCTAAAATCGTTTTTGGAAACAACTGGCCAAGATGAGGTCCAATCCTAAGTCCATTACCTCCTGTGCTTGCTGCTTGAAGGTGATCCCTTTCCTCAGATATCCATGGGTGGTTCTCAACCAGGCTGGGTCCTGAATAACTGGAGCAGGTGAGTGCAGCCCTGGAAGAAGGTAGGACACAATAAAAGAGCCTGAGACATGGGAACGAAGAGCAATGTAGCTAACAATATCCTCATCCAAGACTGGAGGACCTACCACAGGGATGCCATTGCCTAAAGACAGTATAGGACGCTGTTGCCTAGAGATAGCAGGGGCAATGTGACTGAAACTAGCATACAGCCTAGGACTAGCGGAGGCTATACAGTGAATACGGATATATAGACCGGACCTACCAGGGCCCAGGCTATAGCAGGACACCAGCCAGAGAAGATGACCACCTCAGAACCAGAAACTATCTCGAAGAGCTACAGAACCAGAAACTGCAAGTAGGAATATGCAAATTCCTTTATAGGAGGCAGGGGGAGGAATGGATTAACAGTGGAGAAAGGAAGGGCACCAGAGAAGGAAGAGTGCAGGATGCTGCAGGGTGGAGGTGTCAGAGCTAAGGACAAGACACCTTCTCTGACCCTGCTCCCTTTTCTTAGATTTCACAAAAGAACCTTTGGAGTGGCCTTGGTTCACGTCGCATCAGATATACTGATAAATTTAAGTGACCCATGTTGTGATTAAAAATTCTTTTTAATTGGCTAATAGTGTTTTTCAGGCTCTAATACTGTCTTGTACCTTCGGATAACACAGGAGCAACAAGCACCAGTCCACAGAGCTCCCTGGGTAAATCGGCTGCAGCCTCCACTCTGCACACACTCCTAGGGTATCCGATACCCTAAATGGGCCTCAATGTGAGTTCCAGACCCAGGGGCCCCAGCTCCTCTAGACTTCCTTCCCCAGACAGCACATGGGTTCTCAGACTCACTGACGGTAGGTTCCCTCTGCACATTCTTTCCCACCCTCTGCTCTTCCAGAACATCCTGCATCAGCCCACACTCTGCAGTAACTCACTCTCCTGGAGTGGAGGGTGTGTGTGCTTGCTGGAGAAACAGAGAGAAACAGAAGGCAAGATGGCCACGCCACAATCCCTTCTCCTCTCCTCTCGGGATTTTGGGCACACCTTCACACAAACTCAGCATGAGTTTTAAGCTGCTGGGTCTGGGACTCAAACCACAGTAATTACGTGGGAGTTCAACAACGTAACCACTATACCATTACCCCGTGTTTTTCGTTTTTTAATTTTAGCTTAATTTTTTTCTATTTAAATTTTTTTTGTAATTTATTATTTACATATAATCATTACACATCTTTGTCGGATACAGAATGGTCTTTAGAAACAGGTACACAGTGCGTAAAATACAAATCGAGGAAATAAACATATTCACCACCTAAACCATTCCAATAGTTATTCTATAAATAACTCAGTTGTCTATGACATTTTTTACTGTGAGGTACAGGTCTAAAGAAAATGTATTAAAAATCAGGCAACAAACAATCCCATAAATTAACCAAGATAATCTTAACATAGCCAATGAAAGAATAATTAGTCATTTCCTTGCAGAGAACTATGAGAGATAAAGAGTTATAATCTGAAAAAGCCTGTGGGGTGGGAACCAGCAGTTAGCATAATGGCTATGTCGCTGGACTCCCACGTAGTCAACCGCGGTTCACGTCCCAGACCCGGTGGCTTAAAACTCACGCCGGGCGCGTGTGCGTGCGTGCCCAAGATCCCGAGAGGAGAATGGAGGAGAAGGGATTGTGGAGTGGCCATTCCCCCGGGGGGTGATTTCTCACTTTCTGTCTCTCTGTCTCTCTCTGTCTATCTGGCGAGCGCATGTGCCCTATAGCGAAAACCTCTCCAAAATAAAGCCTGTGGGTATAAATCATTGGTCCAGTTAGAGACATGTGGAATTGCACATAACAGTTCATTAGGAAGAGAAAGAAAAAGTGTTTTACTCACATATTGTGAGTTCTCGTAAGACCATGGTACTACCCTGTCAGAAATAAGTGCTGAACTTCAATAAGTCTCCAAAAAAGCAAAGAGAAAAAATTGGAAAGAGATGTTTATAAATAAAAATATGGTAAAGCCAGTGATTTGGTTTTATAGGCTTTACACAGTTCCTGACTTTAGCCTTTTTAAAACTTTCATTCCAAAGAAAGACTCAGCTGTAATGTTTTTTCTATAGTCTATTATAGTTTTATATAATGAGTAATGGTTATAATAAAGCTTATATGTAAAATTGTTGAATCTACATTTAGTCCTGACATTCAATGCTATTATGTGGACCTATCCTTTTTGTAAACTATGCCTAAGATAAGGGATTGATAACCAGAATACACAGGGAACTCAAGCAGCTTACCCAAAAAATTATGATCAACTCAATTAAAGGATGAGAAAATGAGCTGAACAAACAACTCTCTAAAGAAGACATGCAAACAGCCAAAAAGCATATGAAAAGGTACTCAACATTCCTCATCATAAAGAAGATGCAGCTCAAAACCACAATGATATCCTACCTAGCCCCGGTCAGAATGGCAAAGATTAGATAAACAAAAAAAGATAAGTGCTGAAGATAAAAAACCATATGATCATTTCAACCAATACAGAGAAAGCATCGGATAAAATACAACATCCCTTCACGATTAAGACTCTCAGCAAGATTGGTATAGAAGGGTCATTTCTCAACACAATAAAAGCCACATATGAAAATCCTATGAATGGATAGCATTATACTGAATGGGAAAAAGCTAAAGCTTTTCCACTAAAAACTGGTACTAGATAAGGTTGCCCACTTTCTTCACTTCTTTTCAATATAGTGCTGTAAGTCAGCCAATGCAATCAGAAAAGATAATAATATAAAAGGCATTCAAATAGGGAAAGAAATGTCTTTATTTGCAGATGACATGATGGTATACTTAGAAGACTCAAAGGTTTCCATGAAAAAAAACTTCTCAAAGTAATAAATGAATACAGTAAAGTGTCGGGATACAAAATCAACATCCAAAAATCTGTAGCATTTATATATATGAACAAGTTGAACGAGGTAGATCTGAAGAAAGGAATTCCTTTTATCAAATCCACAAAATGTATAAGATACCTAGGGTAAACCTAACTAAGGAAGTCAAAGACTTTTATAAAGAAAACTATAAAAATCTTAAAAAGGATACTGAAAATGACACATACAAAAAGTGAAAGGACATCCCACATTCCTGGAATATATATGAACAAGTTGAACGAGGTAGATCTGAAGAAAGGAATTCCTTTTATCAAATCCACAAAATGTATAAGATACCTAGGGTAAACCTAACTAAGGAAGTCAAAGACTTTTATAAAGAAAACTATAAAAATCTTAAAAAGGATACTGAAAATGACACATACAAAAAGTGAAAGGACATCCCACATTCCTGGATTGGAAGAACTAATATAAACAAAATGGCAGTTCTACCCAAATTAATCTACATATTTAATGCAATTCCAATCAAATTACCACAGACATTCTTCACAGATCTAGAAAAGACAATCACAGAATTTGTCTAGAATCATAAAAACAAAAATCGTATTGCCAAAGCCATCATGCACAGGAAGAGTGGAGTGGGTGGCATCTCACTCCCTGACCCCAAAATATACTATAAAGCTGTGATAATCAAAACAGCATGGTTGGGAACCAGCAGTTAGCATAATGGCTATGTCGCTGGACTCCCACGTAGTCGACCGCGGTTCGCGTCCTAGACCCGGCGGCTTAGAACTCACGTCAGGTGCGTGTGCGTGCATGCCCAAGATCCCGAGAGGAGAATGGAGGAGAAGGAATTGCGGCGTGACCATCCCCCCTGGGGGGGGGGGATTTCTTGCTTTCTATCTCTCTGTCTCTCTCTGTCTTTCTGGCGAGCGCACGCGCCCTATAGCAAAAACCTCTCCAAAAAAAAAAAAAAACAAAAACAGCATGGTGGAGGCACAAAAGCAGACAGGTGGACCAATGGAATAGAATAGAGACTCCAGAGATAAACCCCAAAACTTACAGCCAACTGATTTTTGACAAAGGATAACATTCGGTCCCATGGGAAAAGGAAAACTCATTAGCCAATGGTGCCGGAAAAACTGGGTATCCACCTGCAGAAAGATGAAACTGAATCCCCAACTTTCACCACTAACAAAAATCTACTCAAAATGAATCAAAGATCTGAGCCTAAGACCTCAAACTTTAAAACTACTAGTAGAAAACACTGGGAAAACTCTGGGAAACATTGGGGTAGGCAAAGACTTCTTAAGTAAGACTCACAAAGCATGGGCAATAATCTCTAAAATAGACAATAATACCTAAAACAGACAAGAAGTTTCTGCACAGTAAAGGACACAGTCAAATGAGAAACTTTGTGCAGCTGGGAAGAGGGGGATAGGGGTGCTATAAGTCTATGTGTCTAGAACTTGGAGCTGTGGCTGTGGACATCTACTCACTAGGCCCAAGGACTGGGCTATGAACCCCTGTGAGAACTACACATATCCAGTGAACTGGTCCAGTGACTACCAGCATGTGTCTTTGCAGCTGGGAGCAGGGCTGAAATTCCACATGTCTGAAGGGTCAACAGGTAAGACAAAACTGCAAGCCTATGCCCTCTGTCCTCGGGGCCAGGCTGTGATCTTGGCAGGAACTGTGTCCATACAGCCAATGGGTCTGACGGCTGCCAGCCTGTACATATCTTTGCATCTGAGAGGCAGGGCTGGAGCTGAGCATTTGTTGAGCTTCTACCTATCCAGTCACTGTCAGAATAAGCTGGGTGGTCCACCTGCTTGTGCACATCTGCACAACTGGAGAGAGGGGCTGGATGGTTAAGGCACTGTATTCCTACGTAGTTGACCACTGTTTGATTCCCAGACCCAGCAGCTTAAAATTCACACCAGTCATGTATGCATGCATGCTCAAAATTCTGAGAGAACAGAGGAGAAGGGACTGTAGTGTGGCCATCACCCCTGGGGGGATGATTTCTCATTCTCTCTCTCTTTTTCCTCGCTCTCACACTCTCTCTCACTCTCTCTCTTTCACTCTCTCTCTCTCTCTCTCTCTGTCTCTCTCTCCCTGGCAAGTGCATGCACCCTTTAGCAAAAATTTCACAAAAG